GGCAAGGAGCATCAGAAATTGGAAGAGTTTCATCTCCTGGTTTGAGCTCACCAGTTCAAAGCTTGCCAATTGGGAATTCAGCCTTAATTGGTGGAGAGGGATGGACTTCTGCTCTTGCTGAGGTGCCCAATATGATTGGAAGCACCACAGGGTCATTGTCATTTCAACAAAATGTTCCTGCTACATCGGCGATAGGACCTCCAAGTGTGACAGCTGGACTTAATATGGCTGAAGCATTGGTGCAGTCTCCATCTCGAGCTCGTGCTGCTCCCCAGGCATCTGAGGTACCCTATTGTACCTTTTGGCTTCTTGTGTTGTATATTATGTGCTCCTTTTGATCTAACGTTCTCACCCTTTACCCCCCAACTTTCCTAGTTATCTGTCAAGACTCAAAGGCTTGAGGAATTGGCTATTAAACAGTCCAGGCAATTAATACCGGTGACACCTTCTATGCCAAAAGCTATGGTAATTGGGGCTGATGCAATTGTTGAATCTTATGCTGTATAGATTTGTTTCTACCTCTTTATATTTTGATTAATTTTGGTGCAATTATTTTTGTTGATTAAAAAATATAAAGCTTGGCACTTAAAACATGTGAGAGAACTGAGAACCATTTACACGGTATCTTGACAACTTGTGTCAATCTTTGATATTAGCTAGAACTAATACTCTCTCCTTAGCTACTTATGTAGTATTAAGTTCTTAGGATTTATATGTGGAGAGAGTCGCTTGTCAAATAAACACTGCTTCTACATTTTAGAAACTGTAGAACTTTTTGTGGAAGTTTGTTATTCAAGTATTCTGTCTCTTTAACTTAATGACTGAAGGATAGTGTTTGTGTTAACTGTTAGATAGTGGAATTTGAAAATGCTAGAAGCTTCTGCTTCGATGTCATTTACAATGTGCTAGATAACTATGTCGTTTCCCCCGCTTCTATTTGATGACAAACACAATTTAAGGATGATTGAAAGAACAAAATACAAGTGAGCCCCAGAAAGGGATGGCAGGGGGTGTTCTACATCATCTAATGCGTTATCTGATTTAGGAAATAGTTATTGCCAATTCTTCAAGGGGTCTGTCCGATTACCTTTTGGAAATCTGTAAGACGTAGATGATAGGAAAGAGATTGCAGGCTTTGTTTTTGGATCCGATTTCATGTGTGTATATATGTGCTTTGCCACTTCGATTCTTTGCAGACTGAATTATCTTTGGTTGACCACTTTTTTACTCTCTCAAGAGTCGAAAATGCCGGTGGTAGGTTAAATATGCTTTAAGGGAAGTGTAAACTTTCTATGTTAAGATTCTTCATTGATTGTTGTGCTGTAGCCAATATACCATTGGTGGTTAGTATTCTTTGTTTGTTAACGTGTTATATTTGGTAGGCAAGTTTTTTATTTTACCTGAAAGATCGTTAAGCTGTTAACTGATTATGATCTCCTCTTCATGTATCAATGGTTATAACTTAATTGAGCACTCCTCTTCTGAAAGGGGGGTTCTCATTTGTTCTAGTTTTCCTTTTGAAGCCGATGTAAATTTTTGTTGTGCTAGCAGTATAATTCTTAAAATGGATTTAGAACCAAAAGAAAACAGAAGACGAGAATACTTTTTTTTGTTATGTTTTAGTTAAAGTTTTCTAAACTAGTTCTCACACCTGATCGATATTAATATTCTTTTAAAAGTATCAATGGATTTTTATATTTATATGCTGAAGAAATGAATGAAAATATGAAAACAGACCATATCTTTCCTGATAATTTTAAAAGATCTGTTTGTAAAAACAATTTTGATAAACTACATCCAAGCAGTTCTCTACTCTTGTAATATGAAATATAGTTAGTTTTTACGTTTTGATAGTCCTCTATATCATGATAAATTTCTACAACAAACTATTGATTTTATCTTCCAGTTCAGCATTGAACATGTCTAGGAATACATATTTATCATTATATCTAACTGCAAGTCTTCTGTTTTGGCCCCTTAAATGATCGTTAGTGTTTTTTTTCCCTTTTTACAGGCGCTTAATTCTTCTGATAAATCAAAGCCCAAATTAGTATCAAGAACTGGAGAACTTAATGTAACCACCAAGGGTGGACAGCCACAGCCCTCGTCAGTCCATGCCAACCAATCTCGTGGAGGACATGTCAAGCCTGATGCCCAAAAGAGTTCTCATGGGAAGTTTCTTGTTCTAAAACCTGTACGAGAAAATGGAGTGTCCCTTGCAGCAAAGGATGTCTCAAGTCCAACTAGTAATGCAAGCAGCATGGCAGCAAACAACCAGTTCGCTCTTGCACCTTCAGTTTCACATGCTCCTTTGAAAAGCCCAAACAACTCAAATGTTTCTTCTTTGGAGCGGAAGGCAGCTAGCCTAGATCTCAAATCTGGATCAACTTTGGAAAAAAAACCTTCCTTATCACAAGTCCAGAGTCGGAATGATTTCTTTAACCTCATTAAGAAGAAAACTTCAACAACTTCTTCTGCTGTTCTCTCAGATTCATGCTCTTCTGTGAAATCTCCTTCAATTGGCCAATCTGATGAACTAAAAAAGGAAGAAATCAACACTCCTGCAAGTTCTCAAGTGATTGAAAATGGTGCTATGGAGATTCCAAATGGAGTTGGTTCCGAAGAGGTTCGGGGATCTTGTGACAGTGGTGAAAAAACTCAGAGGCACGCTGCTTCGGAATCTCTAGACGAGGAGGAGGCTGCTTTTCTTCGTTCTCTTGGATGGGAAGAGAACTACGGTGAGGACGAAGGCCTTACCGAAGAAGAGATCAATTCTTTCTATCAGGAGGTAAACAAAATACTTGTTGTGACATTTCACTAATCTCCTCTGCAATACTTTCCAAAATCTAGTTCTTGTTTACATTAGCTGTTGAAGTTGGAACTTTGTAATATATGCTCTAATTTTGATTGCAGTTGGAATGCATGAAGTTGAAGCCATCTCTAAAAGTGCCGCGATGCATTCAGCCAAAGATATCTGAATCTCACGAAGGAAGTAGCAAGGATGGAGCCGGTTCTGAACTGAGCTCATCTGACTCGGATGCCTGAATTACTTCCTTTTCATCCATGAAAAGTTATAGTTCTTCACAGTTTCTAATGGCAATGGGTCAGTTTTTATTTCATTTTATTTCATTTCATTTTCTTTTCTTCTTTTAAAATCTCTTTCCTTCTTTTTTGTTTTCATGGTTTTAAAGAAATGCTGATGGGAGTTGGGTTGGGATGTTAATTGAAACACTGAACAGTGCAAATAGTGCAATAAGTTACAGTTGCCCAAATCATCCTGCCTGCCTGCCTTTACAGCGGGAGTTTTTGCAGTTTTAAAAGGGCAGTTGCAGAGGTTTGGCAGGCGCACATTTTGTCTGCGTTCAAAGATGCATCTCTTTGGGTTATTTTGGTTCTTTCTTCTCACTTTTGAAGAGGTTTTTGATTCTGGAAGTTACTAGGGAAGAACAGAAAAAAGAAAAGAAAAGATAAAAGGGTTACTTACTGTGCTCTGCTTCAAAGGAAAATGGTAAAGAAAAGAAAAAAGAAAGAAAGTTTCAATCTTGGTTCAGCTGATACTGATTTATTGTTTGGGATGTTGTTGGGTGGTTGGGTAGTGTGTAGCTTTGTTTGACATTGAACTGCACTAATTACACATCAATAAGAGGGATTAAGTTAGTGATTAATTGCCCATTTCTTCTTCATTTCTTCATCAAAATGGTTTTTAGTTTCCTAGTCGCCCATTCTCTTGAGCATCTCTTCTGTTTTTGGTGTTAAGAATGACTTGAGAACGTGGTTGGAAATAAATTGCCAATGGTTTCTTTTTTTTTTTTTTGTTAAAAAAAGTTCATCACTAGGTTATTTATGTTAGACAATCACGACTCTCCACAACGATATAATATTGTCCACTTTGAGCATAAGCTCTCATGGCTTTTGCTTTGGGCTTCCTCAAAAGGCCTCGTACCAATGGAGTTAGTACTTCTCGCATATAAACTCATGATCATTCCCTAAATTAGCTAAGGTGAGACTTTCATCATCCAATACTTTAATTTTTTATATTATTATTAAGTTTTGAATTTATCTTATAATCAAAAGTACTTTTTTTTTTTTTTTAATTTTATAATCTACATGTTTAACCAAAACCCAAGAAAATAGTTTTTTTTTTTTTGTTCTTTAAATAAAGATGAAAGGGAAATGAATTGGTATTTGAATAAATGAAAGAGGTTACAAAGGTGACAATTTATGAGTAATTAAAATTGTAGGCAATGGATGGTTGATGTCCCTCTCAGAGTCAGTGTCGGCTGTAGCAGCTCTCGTTTGTTAAATTTAAATGATTCAATAATGAATGAAGCTGTTGTGGAAAGCCATACTTACTTACTGCCTAAGCAATCCCCTCTGGACTCGTCCATTTCATTAAGTCGTTCTTCAAAGCCTATGCTTTGTATTAAAGCAAAACGGTGTAATAAGATAACCTTTCAATTAATGAAGTTCGGCGGATTAAAATATATCTAAAAGAGTAACAAATTTATAAATATTCTAATTCAACGACATTTGAAGGTGAGGGATTTGACCTACGAGAAGGTGAGGGATTTGACCTACGATCTCTTAGTATCAAGTTATTGAATATTTTATAAATAAATCTCGAAATTCAAAACTCCCTGTTGTCCAATAAAGACCTAAAATCCCTAATAATAAATCAAAATCCACCCATTAGTTACCCGTAGTCCAATAAAGACCTAAAGTTCCTAGTAATAAACCAAAATCTAACCAAAATCTCCCACCGATTAGTGAGTGAACAAAAAACCTATTAATAGATAAGAACACATTCCAACCAATTCCCAAAAAAAAATCTCAAATATCACCATTTTACTGTCAATAGATTGAATACCACCATTGTCCATCTATATATTGTTCATTTTGCATCCACAATTTTTCGAAGGAAAGAAACTAAAAACCAAAACAAAACTGACCACCCTTCATCATTTTATGCTTTGTTAGTATATAATATGAACACTGCGACAAACTGAAATGGCTGAAACATTGAATGCTGGCTCACTTGCTCACTTATATTGGATCCATAAAGATTTACAGACATGGTTTCAGATTAAGATTAACATGACATTTACAAGAAGTAGAAAGCTCTTACTGTTCAGTTCCATAGTTGGAAAAGTCAAATGACACACAATCGACTTGACGATGCAACGCGCTATGCAGTTGGTAACTCTTCAGCCTCTGAGGTCTAAGTGCATAATTCTTTCCGACTTATTCCGTGTGAGAAGTCCAGTAAATCAACCCACTGCAACAAACAGTATTTCAGGAAAACAGAACATAGACAGTGCTGACCAGGGTCTAGCTACGTAGCATTTGTATTACATGACACTTGTGCGAGAGATGAAAATTGAAACCCCTTAATGATTTTGGTTTTTCCACAAAGCTATCTAATGCAACGAAGACCAAAGAACAGGGGCATACATTGATACAGCATCAGACTGCTAAAGAGAAAATATTCTCGTTCAACCAACTTTGCTTATGGCATGATTTAAACATCTTATGTAGTAGATTCAGACCTGCTCAGAAATCAAGAGAAACAACATAATGAAAGAACCCCAACAACTCTTCTTTAACAAAGTTGCCTTGCTGAATGATTCCACAACTAGGTGGAGTAGACAATAAGAAGTGGCTACATGTTTGCTGGCACAAATCCAACTAAAAGACAGATGGGAAAAATCAGAATTAAGATAATAAAAAGGAGAGAGGCCATTTACCTAACCAACACAAACACACACTGCAATACTCCTGCAACTCCCGTCCATGCTGATAGGCCAGTTTTTACTACTGAATCTTGAATCAAGAGCCCCACAGATGCTGCTAATGAAACGAAGGATACCACATAAGCGAAGAAGAGCCAAAGCTTTAATCTGCAGTTAAGGGAAACGTCAGTACTGTTAATTACAGAAAAACACTAGCACCACATCAAAACAGACATTAAATTCTCGATGCTATCACACAAGTCTTCTAATTTTCCTTTGCTTATAGGTCTCTGAAACTTCAATTTTACAGAGGCTTATTTCCGTGATATCTCAACAAATAACTAACATATCAATTCATCATGTCCTACCTAGTATGAACCAATATTGTAGACCAGTATGGAAGCTTAGGGCGTATGAAAAGATTTCTTTATGCATTAGGCCTTCTATGCAGATTTGAATTCTACAATTACCACTTCATGAAATCCATTTTTAAGTGGGTGTTAATGACTTGCCTACAAGCTAGATTTCAGCTCGCACACTAGTAATTTTATTCTCAAACAAGTATCACAACTGCTGAAGGTGTGAGGAAATGGTTCGCCATGCATCTTACCTTACCAAACCTCCTGCTAAGTTCAAGGCCCCTTTCGTGGTTTATATTTGGAATTTCAAGTCCCTAAGAAAGTGAACATTTCTTTTGTGTCTCACCTATAGAAGTCTCAATCTTAATAGTTAATCCTGCCGTCAAATTACAGAAGTTCCCACTCTGGGCTTTGTCCCCCTTGGCTTGTTGTCTTTGTAAGAAGGACGACGAATCTCTAGACCATTTTCCTCTATTGCTCCTTTTCTTTTAAGAGCTGGTCTTTTCTTTTGCTAGAACTTGGGTTATTGGTTTGCCTCCCTAAATTGGTGGACCTATGATTGATGAAAATTCTTGGGGTCATGACTTTTAAAGTTTGGGAAGGATGATGCATGAAAATTTTATTTCTATATAATAGCATTCTGAATATTATTCTTATACCTTCGCAGAGCATCACAACCTCTAATACATCATTTTTCGATGGTTGTTGGATCTCCACCTATGTCTACTATCCTTGGACCATTCTATCAAGAAGTTACGTTCCATGTCTTCGTTTATGATATTTTCTGCATACACATGCTCTTCTTTCAGCTCTCTCTCACTAAGAATGTTCTCAAACCTAACCAACCTCACTCTTGCCCCTTAGTTCCTCCTTTTCACAACCCACCCAATTGGGGAGAAGGTTGAAAAGGGGATTTTTATGGGGTAAAATGTGAGTTTTCACTGTGGAAAAAAAAAATGGAAGAATACACGAGGAATACCAACAAAAAAGAAAACACGAAAAACCCAAGAAGAGCCCAACCAGCTCTAGTCATGCATAATAAGACCTATGGGGTAATGACAAAAATCTTTACAAACAGAGACGCAAAGAGAGGTGAAATCTAACAAGTGACCATACCTCACTTGAAGGCACTGCCTTGTGGAGGAATCTTATAAAAGCTAAACACGCTCCAACATCATGTACAAACCGATTATTCCCATCTTCTGCCAATGGGCCACGAAAGTTTATAAAAGAGCACCAAAACCTCATCACTAACCGCATTTGCCATAGGGTGGGTGATGGAGAAAACACATCTTGGATTGCAACACCATGCTAGCATTGCAGTATCCTCTTTTATATAGGCACTCACATTGCAAGACGACCACAATCAAAGAAATATGGAAATATGACAACAAATTTTGGGAGTCACAGCTCAATACGAACCTCAAGGATAGCAAAGCTACATAATGGGCCAAGTTAAGCCTTGACCTTGCCCAATAGTGTTATCCCAAGAAGTAGGCTCATTGAAATGCCTTCCTAGGGATCGGTTTTCTCCACAAAATCCTTAATGATAGATATGGGGGAAAAAATAAAAGCCATAAACCTCACAATAGCCCAAGACAATATGGAAAGGAAATCATAAAAAAAGGTGGAGTTTTTCCCATGAGAAGTTATGCACAAAGCCATTAGCACAAATGAAAACCTACAAAAATGAATGCCCTGCAGGACTCTATTTTCCAATTAATGCCCTTTATGCAAGAGAGAATGAATCCAAAAACCACCTATTTATGTAGTGTACTTATGCCTATAACTTATGGATAAATATTCTCACCATTTTCGGATGACACCTCACTGTTCCTAAGGAGGTCAAAGATTAACTGGACATGGTCTTAACGTACCCCCTTTCAAGAATGCAAAAACTCTAGTATAGACCCAACCTCATCATGACTTTCTTTTGGAATATTTGGAAAGAGTGAATTCAATAAATCTTATTGGAAACTCCTACTAGGCTCTTCAACAATGTTGTTTACCAAGAAATAGTGTAAGTTGTCTTCCTACAACCTTACCTGATTGTTAATTGGGAAAGTCTTTTGTAAGTATCATGGATAACACATCTTTTTTTTTTTTTTTTTGTAAATCTCAAACATTAATGAAACGGTATCTTATCAAAAATAAATAAAAAAAATAAAAGAACCTTCGCCCAAAGATCTCTCCACTCTTCTAAAGGTTCTATTTTTTCTTTGAAAAGGAGGATGAAATATATATATATATATATATATATATATATGAATGGTAAAACCCCTCCAACATGGAGTTACAACTCCTGACCAAGCCAAACGTAAGGAAAACGTCTCACAAAAGCCACTCCACAACAATCAAGTAAACTGACAAAACCAAAAGAGATGATCACCTTCATCACGACTTTGATCTTCCAGAGTAAGGAAAAGATGGGAGAACTTGAAAATAAAGGGGCTCGCCCAACAACGAAAAAACGTGATACAAGAGGACCCCTCCAAAAGGACGAAGCTCCATAACTAAAGATCTCCTCTCCCTCAGACTAATAAAATTACTGTAACTAGAGCATCAAATTCTCAAGGAAAATACTGCAACCACTTGTCCAACAAAGCCCTATTACACACCCTAAGATTCCCCACACCACCTCCCAATTTACCAAATGTGCACCCTTCCCTTCCTCCACCCCTTCCCATAAAAGGTCTTCACATAAGTCTCTTTACGGAACTACAAAACTTTCACACGGATCCAAACACAAGGATGGAAAATACACACGAATTTCACTAAGGATAGACTGGATAAGAATAAGTCTTCCTCTCTTAGAGAAAAAGCTTTTCTTCCGTAGGGGTTCTACAGAATTGATTAAAAGGATGCCCAAATAATAAATATAAAGTACAAATACTGCTTAAGCCAAAAGAATGTGTATAAGTCTCTGTGTGGAGATTGCATCTCCAAATCACCTACACTAAATACAGCCATTGACACAATGTATAGATTGTGTTGCCAACTTGCCCATTTGGTTTTTCACCTCGTCTAAGCTTATAATGGACGGCTAACAAACAATTCAATCGTTTGGCACTAGTTTCACATTCCCATTGAGTCCTTCAACCATGCCCCAGAGTTGACCCTCGACGTCTATTGCAGACACACATAGTTTACGGTATTCTAATTGTAAATTAAGAGTTAAGTCTCGTATGTACGAGTTCATGAAATCCTAACTCATCCAGGGAGAATAATGCTAGCAAGACACTAAATCACATTGAGCAATGACTTGTTGAAGAAAAACACTGTGACATTGCTTTCAATCGAATCGAATGATCAGGCAAAGAGGATGGCGGTATGATTGGTGGCATTTAAAACAATAAAAGCGGCTGAAAACAACAAGAGATAGAAAGAGAGAGGTAAGCAGATAAATCATAACATACTCACCTCCATTCGCCTTCCTCATATGGTGAATAATCGATGTCTTCCTTCCGAACGCAATTGAACATCAGAGCCGCAAACGAAGCAAAAATACCTAAAACCCCAATACCAAAACACCATAAAAAACCCTAACTGCAAATTATACATGGTGTGGACTGGTAAATGAATAAAAAACCTGGAAGATAGTGGAGGAAGGAGACGGCAACAGAACTGCAGACAACGGCGTCAACCCAGAACCACCACCCGGCGCCGAACACAGCTCCGGCAACGCCAGGGCCGAAAATTGACCAAAGCTCCGCCAAATCCATTGGTGGATTCTTCCTTTTGCCTTCTTCTTACGATTGCGATTGGAGACAGGTGAATGATCGCACCGGTCAGACCCCTTTTCTGCCGAGAAGTTCAATAGAAATAAACTAGAATCACAGCTACTCATGGCTGTGTTGGAAAATTATAGCAAATTTTATGCCTACGTGTTTAAATTATGATAAATGACCATAAACATTTAAACAAAAAAACATTTAAACAAAAAAACAAAAAAACAAAAAACAAAACAAAATTTGACATTTTTTTTGTTATTAAAAGGTTAAACGGAAAGGATGTCATTTAGACACATTACCTTTTCGTCTAATTTTCTAAGAAGTTTACTACCCATGATGAGCGTGTATGACCAAACAAACTTAGTTTTCACCTTAGTTGTATTCGGTCGACGAAAGAGAATTTCATCTAAAATAAAAGATCAAACGAAGCCGCGAAACCTAACAAAAAAAAAAAACATAAATCATGCTTGAGTTAGTTCCTCTCGAGGCTTGTTTGGTTTTGAGGTTTTTGTCATATGATTCTATCTTTTTGTTGGGAGATTTACAGTTCCCTGCTCTACTTATGGAAGCCTGATTATGCGTAAGTATTGAGATCGATTGTTAGGAATCACGATAGTAGATATTGCCCACTTTTGAGTATTGAGCTCTCATGGTTTTGCTTTTGGTTTCCCATTCCCTAAATTACTCCCTTCCAACAAAACAATCATTCCCTCGAATAAAGTATGTCATAGAGCCTCCCTGAGGTTTATGTAGCCCTCGAATAGTCTCCTCTTAAACAAGGCTCGACTCATTTCTTTGGAGCCCTCGAACAAAACACACCATTTGTTCGAGGCACGAGTCACTTTTGACTACATCTTCAAGACTAGTAATTTCCTTATTTGAAATTTCAAGATTCTATTGACATGACTAAATTAAGGGCATGAGACTGATACTGTGTTAGGAACTACGACTCTCCACAGTAGTGTAATATTGTCTATTTTGAGCATAAGCACTTCTCATACCAATCTAGATGTGTTCCTTACTTATAAACGCAAGACCATTCCCTAAACAACCCTCAACATCGAGGGTTGCTAGGGCCTACAACAAAGACGTAGTACGATATGTGTTTTTAAGACGACCCAATTATGTTAAATGATTAAAATATATGGTATATTTAATTTAATTTTTAAATATGAAAAGAAAGCATCTAGAAAAAGAAAAAGAAAAAGAAAAAAAAAAAAGAAAATAGGCATTGATCCGATAAGGCAATTTCATCACTTGAACAAATAGATAGACGACACGCGTGCAGTGGAGGAGCTGTTACCGCGGAATTCCCACTTTCTTACTACGTCCTAATAGTCTCCCCTATAAAAATATCTTCTAGAAACAAACCGCCTTCACTTGCCTGCAAATAACGCGAATCTCTCTCTCCCTCTCTCTCTCTTTCCAATCGAAAGCGAAATCCAGCTGCGAACAAAATTTTAATCATTCGCAACAGAACAAGAACCTTACTAATTCCGGATCCCAACTCTGGTTTCGGCTCATCCTTTCCTCATCTTTTCCCTTGCAAGCGACGAGTTGGACTAGGATTTTAGGATTAGGGTTAGGGTTAGGGTTTGTTTTTGTACCTTTTTATCTGCGTAGTTCGTGCATGCGAAGGTCTGGATCGGTTAAGCGTATGTATGGCAGTGTTTGTATTTGGATAGAGTGGAATTTGAAGTTTTGACTATGGAACGCGCCATAGGTGGGTTAATTTGTGTTTATTGTTGGTGATGACTAGAGACCGATGTCACCTGGGAAAGAAGATGATGGGTAGGGGTGCGGATGGAGGCTGTGGTGCTGAGGAGAGGTCTTGCCCAGTGGCAAGAGTGCCGAACAGAGTAACGTTGACCCATACTCAAACACATGAGGACAAGTTGTCTACTGTGGACATTGATTATTACGCTCAGGCTCAAAAGGCGTTGTGCGAGCGTTCGCCATTTGATGTAGCGGAGGAGACTGCAGCTCCTTATGTGCCCACTCTGCCCAGTAGGTTGGGTAGCTTTTTGAGCAGACATACGGGTGGTAAGAAGCGGCAGAGGAAATCCAATTCTGGGGCAGACAAGAAGTCTTCGAGGCAAGGTGAAAGGTCACGTGGCTCCAACATTTGGGTCGAGACAGAGGAATATTTTAGGGACTTGACGCTGTCTGATGTAGATACTTTGCGTGCATCGTCTTCTTTTAGTGGTTTAGGGTTTAGGAAATGTTTTTCAATTCCGTCTTCTGGAAATGACTCAGAAGCAAATGTAGGTGGCAGTGATAATGTTAGTGATGAGATTACGGATAGGGCTATTATTAAAGACGAGGTTGAGGATGACCGTTTGGGCTCGGATGTGGGCATGGTTGAAGCCAGTGGTTCTCCTCTTGGAGACAAGGGTTGTTCGAACTTGGATTCGTCTCCCGGCTTAGAATGGATATTGGGTTGTAGGAATAAGGTGTCCTTAACTTCGGAGCGGCCTTCGAAGAAACGGAAGCTTCTAGGTGGTGATGCAGGATTGGAAAAAGTTCTGATTGTTTCTCCTTGCGATGGAAATTCATCTTTATGCCACTTTTGCTCTAAGGGAGATACGTACAAAGGGGTAAATCCGTTAGTTACTTGCAGTTGTTGTTATGTGGTGGTTCACTATAAGTGCTATGGCATAAGAGAGAAAGTCAATGGATCCTGGTCGTGTTCTTGGTGTAAGCAGAAGGATAAAATCAATGATTCCACAAAGCCCTGTTTGCTCTGTCCCAAGCAGGGTGGTGCTCTGAAGCCTGTACATAAGAACGTCGACAGTGGATTTTCTGTTGAGTTTGCTCATTTATTTTGTAGTCAGTGGATGCCAGAGGTATTCATAGAGGACTTGACGCGGATGGAGCCTGTTATGAATTTGGGAGGTGTAAAAGAAACCCGGAAAAAGTTAGTATGTAACATATGCAAAGTCAAGTATGGAGCCTGTCTCCGGTGCAGCCATGGTATGTTTATTGCCCCATTATTCAATGCCATTCTCCTTTTCTGTTTGGATGATGTATGGGAAGCACATTCCTACTGGCTACTATGGTCTTCAGATTTTGGCTCAATTTTTTCCTTTTCGACTTCTGTATGCTGTTGTCCTTGGTAGGCTAGTTTTTATGCGTTCTAGCAGAAAAGCATGTTTATGGCTTATCTGTTAATGTCATGTACAGAGTATTTAGAAGTTGGTCGAAATCTGAAATTAGTGAACAGTTAATTTCTACTACGCTCGAGGTTTGATTTTATGTTCCTGGGCTGCTCTCTTTCCCTCCCTTCCTCTCTCCATCTCTCTATCTCACATACAAATCTATGCTTTCTAACTTCTTTGGAAGTTTAGCTGTTGACTTATATACTACTACTACCATACCGAGACATAGGAAGGGGCATTTAGAGAGTGGAATATGTGCATATTTATTTTTATTTATTTTTTTGTTTATCTATACTCCAAAAGATGTGAGCGGTATATTAGGCTCCATGATATATTGCTGGTTATAAATAGTTATCATTTAATTTAGGTTATGAAACTTAAACAAATAGTTTTTTATCTCATGCTCGAGAGCCTCATTTAGAAATCATTCCGATTGGGGGGCATTAACGGGACTTACTAGTTTCATCTTCCATGCTTTGTCTACCATATAAACTGATAGATGTCGGTCAGGATGTTGGTGGTTCCTGATTTGCCATTAAGAAACCAGCTCTAGGAATTTCTGGATATTTTTATACTTTGTGCATTCCAACTTATAAATCTCCTATTTGAACCCTGAAGTACTGAGTAAATACACCTTTTTATGGATCGTAAACATTGTATTAATTTAAACAGTATATGAGAGACATGATGAATAATTATCCTCCCAACAAAAACAAGAGAGATATGTGAAAACTCCCCTTGGCTTGAATCAAGAAGATAGGATTTTATGAAACCTATTTATGGATGCTGCTCAATTAGAGAAATTGGACCTTTATTATTTATTAGTTTTTTTTAATGAATACCGAACTTTCATCGAGAAAACAGGAAAGAATACAAAGGACATACAAAAATTCGAGCCCCC